TATTTTTGGCCCGGTGACCCTCACGGGCCGCGAACTACACGTATTGTGAACCAGTTACCAGAGATCTGAGCACGGCTCTGTCCCGTCGAGCTGGCGCAATATTGCAATTCCAATGAGGAGCCTTTTCAGGGCGCTCCTGGAATAGTTGTTGGCCTTGGGCGGCTCGGAAGCCGCCTGGGGTCATCTCCAGGCAATATCACTAGGGATCGTAGCTGTCGGAGCGCACATTTGCGAGGGTTCGTGGCCCCAGGAGCGTCGGGCCATCGTGGCTCACGAAGGGCAGTGGGCACGGACTCCCCTGCCAGCTCCTATGGACGGCTCTATTCGTTCATGCAAGAACGATGAGCTCCCACTGCAGATGCAGTTTCGGTGTGGACTCGTGCCGTGCCGACCGAAAGTAGATCGTGCGGTGGCAGGGGCTTTTCTTACTTGCGAACTCAATATGTTCTTCGCTCACGTGAGATGATGCACTCGCCTGTCCTAGCTTCTATTTCCCCACATCCTAAGTGGCATTATTGTTTTCTCTGCACACCCTCCGCGCAGGATCTCTCGTCCTCCTCCCTCTCCTCTGCTCCTCTTTGCTTCCTCCTCCGCATCATCATCACCATCATCCATCATCATCCCCACATCATCATCATCATCACCATCAGCATCACCATCACCATCGCACGATCACTCACCATCATCGGCATCGAACGATCATCATCATCATCACTACTCGCTGACTCACCACTTCGTCCCCATCATCATCACCACCATTTACCATCAGAATCGCACGATCACTCACCATCAGCACTCATCATCACCACCATCATCATCATCACGTCGTCATCATCACCATCATCATCATCATCATCATCATCATCATCATCATCATCATCATCATCATCATCATCATCATCATCATCATCATCATCATCATCATCATCATCATCATCATCATCATCATCATCATCATCATCATCATCATCATCATCATCATCATCATCATCATCATCATCATCATCATCATCATCATCATCATCATCATCATCATCATCATCATCATCATCATCAATCATATATCATCATCAAACACCGTCGTCATCATCCCATCACCATCATCCACCAAGAGGGAGCCTCGTATGTGAGTGAATTGTGAGGAAGTCTCAGGCGGGAGCCCCTTCCCTAAGGGGCCCTCGCACCACCACCCTAAAGCGTATCTTCCCCCCCTCCCCCGCCTCCGCCCCTTCCCCGTCCTCCTCCTCCTCCTCCACCTCCTCCTCCTCCGCCTCCGCCTCCGCCTCCGCCTCCTCCTCCTCCGCCTCATTCTCCTCCTTCCCACCACCTCCTCCTCCTCCTCCTCCTCCTCCTCCTCCTCCTCGTCTTATTCCTCCTCCTCCTCCTCATCCTCCTCCTCCTCCTCCTCCTCCTCATCATCATCATCATCATCATCATCAGCATCGTCATCATCATCATCATCATCATCATCATCATCATCATCATCATCATCATCATCATCATCGTCATCAGCATCATCATCAGCATCATCATCGTCGCCATCATCATCAGCATCATCAGCATCACCAGCATCATCATCATCATCATCAACATCATCATCATCATGATCATCAGCATCATCATCATCATCATCATCAGCAGCAGCAGCATCATCATCAGCATCATCATCATCACAATCATCATGATCATCATCATCATCACCACCATCATCATCATCATCATCACCACCATCATCATCATCATCATCATCATCATCATCCTCATTCCTCCCTCCACCGCCTGTGGCAGGGTCGTCAGCTCGTCGTTGTCGTTATCGTCGTGGTCGTCGTGGTCGTCATCGTCGTCCTTCTGGGTCGGCGGCACCAGCCGCACGGCCTTCACAGTCTAGACAGAAGCTGCTCGTCGTTTTCGTTCCCCAGGGGCCCTCGCCTAACCAGCCTCGAACGTATCCCTATCCGTTAGACTGACAAGCCATAGGGCGATGACAACGTCAATGATGCTCCCTCGGAATCTGCGGGAGTCCTTCGGATCGGCATCGAGATTAGGCGATGCCAGTCATCGGGGTAGGGATATGCTCCAGGCCCGTATTCACCAGGCATCGGGAAATGGTCGACAGATCGGGGGGCCGTGCCCCGAACAAATCGCGGCACTGGATGTCTGGGCATTCGTCCAGCAGCGCGCCGCCGACGGCCTCGCAGCCTGTTCGCTTCGAGGCCGGAGGGTCCCAAGAGTCAAGTGGAGTGCGCTTCGAAGCTGCCGGGTGGCACGCTGCGTGGGAGGCTGGTGGTGTGAATGCGCGAACGCAAGCAAAAGTTACTCCGACGGAAGGACCCCACACGAGAATCTCTTTAGCTTGCATGGGGGTATCCTCCTGCCCCTTCCCTTCTCCCACCTACTCTTGCCTCCTCGTTCTCCTCCTGTCTGCTCCTCCTCCTGCCTCAACCCCTGCCTCTTCCTCCTCTTCTTGCCTCCTCCACCTCCTCCCCCTCCCCCTCGTTATGCTTCCTCCCCCCCATTCCCCCTGCCCCTCCTGCCTCCTGCCTCCTCCTCCTGCTCTCCCTCTCCCCTCCTCCTCCTCCTCCTCCTCCTCATCCCCTGTCCTCCTCCTCTCCCTCTCCCTCATCCGCTTTCCTCCTCCTCCTCCTCCTCCTCCTCGTTTCCATATTCCTCCCCCCTCCTCCTCCTCCTCCTCCTCCTCCTCCTCCTCCTCCTCCTCCTCCTCCTGCCTCCTCCTTAGGCCTCCTGCCCCCTCCTGGGGCCTCCTGGGGCCTCTTGGGGCCTCCTGGAGCCTTCTGGGCCTTCCGGGACCTACTGGGGCCTCCTCGGGCATTCCTCCTCCTCCTTTTCCTCCTCGTCCTTCCTCCCCTCAGCCTCTTCCTCTTCCTGCTTTCCTGTCTCGTCCTGCATCATCCCTCTTCCTTTTCCTGGCAATCCTCCTCCTCCTCGTCCTCGTGCGGAACACGACCCAGAGGAAGCGCACGACGTGTGTCCCAGCCGATACGCGCCGGAGGACGACCCAGAGGAAGCGCGCGCCGGAGGATGACCCGGAGGAACCACGTGAGCTGCGGGACCCATAGGAAGGCTCCCGCCTGACGCGTCCTCACAATTCACTCACAGACGAGGGTCCCGCTTGATACTTCTTCCAAATTCAGACCTGAGGAGCCCAAAAGTGACGACGGTTACAGGAATCCGATGACCCGTTCGGATTAGTAACATGATCCGCGGGCCCCATAGGGAGGGGGCTCCCGCCTGAGACTTGCTCGCAATTCACTGACAAACGAGGCTCCCGCCTGATACTTCCGGCCACGTCCGAAAGTGCGTCAAGCGGAGGCGCTGAGCCTCCCCCTCCTCCTCCGCCTCCGCTTCCTCCTTCTTCTTCTCCTCATTATCCTCCCTCCCTCCTCCTCCTCGTCCTCCCCTCCTCCTCCTCCTCCACGAATGCAGCCCCCTATTTCATAACTCAATATTCTACTATCTTCGTGGGCTGCATAGAGTGACGCGTGCACTTCCGAAGATCCCGGTTGACCCGTGGAAGACGGGCTTCCAGGCGCAGGTGTACAAGAAGCTGCATGAGGAGGTAGCCCAAAGTCCAGTCGCTCGCCTTCTCCCCCGTCCTCGTCACTGGCAGGAACATATTTTTCTGCATAAGGCTGACCTTACATACATACGGCTCCAGATTATTGGCCGACATTTTCTTTGTATTCATGTACATGCGGTGATGAAAGCTGTGTGTAACGCCTGGAATACGAGTAGGAGGTACAGGGCTGGTACGTTGGGGTGCAGGTGGGGATGTCAGAATATGGGCGGCGACTCACTCTCTCACCTCTCACCATGTACGTTGTCCTGCTTTGGCTCCTGCAGTGAAGGCCCTCCTCCTTAGGCTTAATGAGAATTGGGGATCAGAGGAATTCTACAGGCAGTTTATACATGGTTGTATGCGTGTTGATTATAGAATTTAACTTTGCTCTGCTGGTGTTGCCTTAGATCTCTTTCTAAGCATCCAGCAGGCCATGAAAGGGAAATACTTTGGGGGCACAAGCACGGCGGTAGGACTACTGAAGGCGAGAGCGCGTGCTATGGCACGGTTCAGCTCAGTAGCCAGAGGCATCTATCAAGGGAATGAATACATCTTGGGGTAGTGGCGCTCCTCCTCCTCCTCCTCCTCCGCTTCTTTCTCTTCCTCCTTCTCCTCCTCGTCTCCCCTCCTCTCCCCTCTTCCCCCGCCTCCTCCTCCACTCGCTCCTCCTCCCTCCCCCATCCTCCTCCTCCTCCCTCTCCCTTCCTCCTCCTCTTCCTCATTATCCTTCTCCTCCTCCTCCTCCTCCTCTTTCTCCTCCTCCTCCTCCTCCTCCTCCGTCTCCTCCTCCTCCCCTCCTCCTCCTCCTCCTCCTCCTCCTCCTCCCCCTTCTCCTCCCCCCCCTCCTCCTCCTCCTCCTCCTCCTCCTCCTCCTCCTCCTCCTCCTCCTCCTCCCTCCTCCTCCCTTCCCCTTCCTCCTCCTCTTCCTCATCCTCCTTCTCCTCCTCCTCCTCCTCCTCCTCCTCCACTCCCCTTCTCCCCCTGGTCCCTCCCCCCCCTCCTCCTCGCAACCCGTTTCGTCTCCATGTCCACAGGCTGGTCTCCGTGACTGCGTTCGGCTGTCGATGTATCCAGCCGTCGTGGTCGGCGAACCGGCGCGTAGCAGCGGAATTTCTGGCCCTCTGCCTCCCCACTCCTTCCCCGTCTCCTCCTCCTCCCCCATCTCCCCCTCCTCTCCTCGTTGTCGGTTACAGGCAAGCGCACGGTGGGCCGGGCCTGCTCTGACCTGCGCGATCCGCGCTCCGTAAGCCCCAGACCCTCCGGAGTCATGAGAAAATCATGATTCCCATTCTCTGGGGGCCCTTGCCGGGCCTCGGGGCCGTCAAATAACGAGTCGGGATGAAAGACTTGTCACGGGGAAGCTGTCGAGAGGTCGGGGGCCCGCGTCCCGAGACGCCGTATGTCTTGGAGCTGCGGCCCACAGGCCGTGAAGCCTGAGACGCCGGTCCTGCCGAAGCGCGCGGTGCTGCCGAAGACGCCCGGGACGTGCGAGACAACGTTCGAGACGATCATCAGCGCGAGCACCGAGGCGCGAGCATCCCCGCGCGGCCGCGTGAGGCTAGCACGGTTGAGAGGCGCACTGGCTGAGGAGCTCTTCACCCTCCTCTTGCTCTGGGAGGCGGGGGGCGGGGAGGGACGAGCTCTAGGAGGAGGAGGAGGAAGAGGAGGAGGAGGAGACATCCTCCTCACTAGCTCCATTGGCAAGCTGCGTCACACATGCCTTAAGGCCCTGGCCCCTGGCCCTCGATTAGTTTCGCAGTTATTCCGATTGAGAAACCATGTGGCCGGATCCGTGGAAGAAGCACGGACTTGGCAGTTCTTGGCGCTAGACTCTTCGCCAAAGCCGCCCTGGTTCGCAAAATATCTGCGTTGCCATTGTATATTGGGCATGCGCGGGCGTTCTATGGTACTATGAGGCATCTCGCCCTAGACCTACCAGGGGCCGAACGCAGGCTGCAGCAGGCACTCGACATTTTGGACCTACGGGGCTGGCAACCGTACCAGGCCCATTTTTACTCCGATGCATTCAACGTGGTGTTTGCTATGGTTCCAGGAGACATCCAGCAACACCTCCCCGAGCACGGTTGAGATGACCCAGAAACATTTGACGGGCCTACACCTCACCTCTCCAGACCTGGAGATTGGGACAGGTCCAAGCCTGATTCCTCATTCGCGGATGACTGCACAGTCCTTGCCAACGCTCCGCGAGCCGCGGACGTGCCCGACGACGCTCCGAGACCTCCTGAGATTGTTTTCTGCGCTGCTTGCGCGTCAGCGTTCAAGCCCAACGCCTTCAACGCTGAACGCATGATATCGAGGCGTGGGCCCTGGGCAAGTTCCCACTGGGCTCCCCAGGGGCGGTCTTGAACAGATCGTCTCCCGCAGGTGGGTATCCTCGCTTCTTATTGTGATGATTCACAAGGCGCTGGGGGCCTAAAATCCTACCGAAGGAGCCCATGGGCCAGAACTCGCGGCCAGGGTCACTAGGCCAGGGGGGCGCTGCGACGTATCTGGGCCACGGTAGCACCAGGAAACGCATTGGCCATTCAGCGCAATGTGATTTTGGCAGAAGTGTTCGCAGCGTCAGTTCTGTACTATGGCGCAGCCACATTGCAAAGGTGTTTCCTCTATCCTACCGAAGTGCCAGCACCGCCCACATGGCAACTGCGAGATGACTCGTATCGTCTTAGTTCTGTGCGTATGAGTCACAATCGGCCGTTGGAAGTCAGGACACTGGTCTTCACCGTTGATGCAGCCCTGCCTTTCCCTTTTCTTCCTCTGTTACCATCGGGGCTCTGAGGCTTGCGGCACGTGCACGTGTGCCCGCGGCGGATGGCAGGGGCTCTCTGGACACCTGGGCTGCAGGCAGCGGCGCAGGTCACCCAGTTGTACCTCCTGCGCTGCCCCGCGGCCCCGGCGTGCCCTTCGCTGACGTGCGCGTGGGGTGCGCCGTGCCCGCAGCCTGTGGCGTGCTCGCCTTGCCCGGCGCGCCACGCCAGCCAGTGCCCAGCGGCATCGGAGGCTGAGGGGTGCAGTGCGCAGAGCGCCCACGGGCTGGTGCTGTTATTGCTCGGCGTGCTGGCGGGATCAGCGGCCACTGGCGGGTTCTTGGCGTTCGTGCTGAGCGTGGGCCGAGTGGTGAGCAGTGGCGCTGGTCGCGCTGGTGTGTATGTCGGAGCGGGCAGAGGAGCATCAGACGGCATGCGTTCGATACCGAGTAGCAGGGCCCGCGCTCCACCGTCAAAGCTTGCTCGCGAAGAAGCTCCGGCCGTCCGATGACGCGCGCAGACGATTCGGGGACGACGTTCGTAAGTTGCCGTGGGGGAATGTGCCCGGGGTCGGGTCTCCACAAATGCGCGGCCGAGGGCATCGCTTTGGCCAGCGTCCTCGCAGAGACGGGCTCTGACGGCTGGGTCAGCAGGCCGCTGCCCTCCGAGACCAGGAGGACGGCGCCCGAGGCTACCGCGCGGCAGTCGGCCGCGACGCTGAGGGTCTCGACCTTCTCCTTCCAGTTGAGGGCCCCCCCACTCCGAGAGGGCCTCCGACGCCGCGGGGGCGCCCGGCATCGCCGCCCCCACTTGACCCTCCTGTGCCGCCCGGCCGCTGGGCGCTGGCCATGGAGTGCGAGGGGAGGGGGGTGGGCGAAGCAGTGGGGCTCACCCCGACGGCGCGGGTGTCAGGCGACTTGCGAGCGGCGCTGGCCCAGCTCCCTAGCAGGACCTGGATGTTCGCTGGGCGGCCGCGGGATGGCGAGACGCCCGACGAGTACTGCAGCCGCGCCGCTGGCCGCCGCGGAGACGGAGAGGGTGGCCTGAGCGCTCGAGCGCTCGCCGCGAATTTCAACGCGTCGGTGTGCGAAAGCGCCTATGGAGAGTTCCCGGACTGGCCCTCGCCGGGCCCCTGCACTGTGGACTGGCGCGCGCAGTTCGTCGACCGCCGAGGCGGAGGCCCAGCCGACCATCATCGCTGGTGAGTGGGTCGTCTCCGCCTGCAGGGCTCGGACTTCGGGTTGCAGGAGCGCGATCATGGGATGCGAGCCTTCCAGTGCGTTGGGGAGCATGACCAGGTTGACCTCCCAAACTTGGCGGGGGTGGAGGTCGCTCTTCGCCGATGCCAGCTGATCGAGTACCACTGCGAGAAGAAGAACAAAGCCAGCTCCCGCAAGGACCAAGGCGCGTGGCAGACGAGGAAGGAGGCGTCCTACTGCACGGACTCCCACAGGCTCGGCGGCGAGGTGATGATCTGTCCCGAGCTGGTGGAGTGCGTGTCCAAGGAAATTGAGAAGGACGCCGGCGCGGCCAAGCAGATGCGCAAGGCGAGGAAGGAGGCGCGCCTCTCGCGCAAAGACGGCTGAGCCCAAGCGAGGGCGGCAGGAGGACCCCGACCTTCTTGCCCGACTACGACAGGGGAAGCATCGGCGCCATCACTTGACTGGTGCGGTTTTGGACAACGTGACGCACTACTGCTTCACGCAGAGGGCTTCGTCGTCGGCCCGACGGGGGTCGACAAGTGCAGCGTTTGTCGGAAGGTCAAGCGCCGCGCGGAGACCCGGGCTCAGTCTGCCCAGCGGTGCGCGGACGCCGCCCGCTCCCTGAATGAGATCGGGGGCCGCCAGTGCAATGGCGCCGATGTCGACGCCCCCGTTCGCTTCTGGCCTCTCGTGCATGATCTCGGCATGGCGAACGCCAAAGCAAGTGTCGAACGGTGGGGGGGGGGGCCCTGCCGACCTCGCCAGCCAGGGGGCCGTTAATGAGCTCCCGGCAAACCATGGTTACGGGGGAGCTCCTGTGATTGTGGCGCCGATGGGCATTGGCTTTCTCAGCCTGGGCGGAGTCGACTCGCCAGTTGACTTCGACTAGCTGCTGCGTGATAGCCGCTCCGAGGTCCGCGGCTTTGAGAATGACTATCTCTTGCCGAAGGATCAAGCGGAAGGACGTTTAGGCCTCAAGGGGATGCCTCGCCGCCCCCATTCTGGCCTTTCTTGCATCGCCCGCGAGAGTACGGGCGTCTCTTGGCTACCATGCCCAGCGGGGGGGTGATCGAACACTCCCTGGATGTGGTCGAGACGCGCGGATTTCTTAGTGTCCGGAAAAAAGAGCGGAAAGCAGCGTCTCATCATGGATGCCCGTAGGTCGACTTGCTGGTTTAAGGATCCCCAAAGACCCGTTTGGTCTCCGGAGATTCGTTCTCCCGTCTCTTTACCGCCCCCGATCTCGCTGTTGAGTTAGGCCAGACAGATGAACAAGATGCATTCTGCAACATCTGTCTTGAAAGCAAGGGATGCTGGGCATGAAAACAAGCAAACCGCCTGAGACATCCCCACAAACTGGCCGTGAACGGGCCCGTGAACACACCCTTAGGGGTGCTGAAACCAGCGCCCCGCCTGAGACATCCTCAACATCTGCTCTGACAGCAAAGGATGTTGGGCATGAAAACGAGCAAACCGCTTGAGACATCCCCACAAACTGGCCGCGAACGGGCCCGTGAAAACACTTCTGGCGGCTCCCTTTAGGGGTGCTGAAACCAGCACCCCAGCTGAGACATCCTCACAATCTGATTTGAAAGCCAAGGATGTTGGGCATGAGAACCAGCAAACCGCCTGAGACATCCCCACAGACTGGCCACGAACGGGTTCGTGAAGACACCCCTGGCGGCTCCCACTAGGGGTGCTGAAACCAGCGCCCCGCCTGAGACATCCCCACAATCTGCTCTGAGAGCAAAGGATGTTGGGCTTGAAAGCGAACAGACCGTTTGAGACATCCCCACAAACTGGCCGCGAACGGGCCCGTGAAAACACTCCTGGCGGCTCCCCTTAGGGGCGTTGAAACCAGCACCCCACCTCAGACATCCTCATAATCTGATTTGAAAGCCAAGGATGTTGGGCATGAAAACCAGCAAACCGCCTGAGACATCCCCACAAACTGGCCACGAACGGGCCCGTGAAAACACCCCTGGCGGCTCCCCTTAGGGGTGCTGAAACCAGCACCCCACCTGAGACATCCTCACAATCTGCTCTGAAAGCAAAGGGTGCTGGGCATGAGAACAAGCAAATTGCTTGAGACATCCCCACGAACTGGCCACGAACGGGCTCGTGAAGATACCCCTGGCGGCTCCCATTCGGGGTGCTGAAACCAGCGGCCCGCCTAAGACATCCCCACAATCTGCTCTGAAAGCAAAGGATGCTGGGCATGGAAACGAGCAAACCGCTTGAGACATCCCCACAAACTGGCCGCGAACGGGCCCGTGAAAACACCCCTGGCGGCTCCCCTTGCGAATCTGAGTATGACTAGGCCTGAGTATGCGTAGGTCTGAGTCCGTGCGTTCAGTAACTCAGACTATGAGAAGGTCTGAGCATGTGTAGGTATGAGTATGAGTAAGTCTGGGTATGGGCAGGTCTGGGAACGAGTCTGGGTATGAGCAAGTCTGGGTATGAAGGAATCCCAGCATGAGTAAGTCTGAGCATGAGTAGGCCTGCGTGTTGTGTGTTGAGTAAGTCAAACCATGAGAAGGCATGAGTATGAGTAGGTTTGAGTATGAGTAAGTCTGTGTATGAGTAGGTGTGTTCTCTCTGGATATCTTGAGTCGGCGGCGTCCGAGTAATAACAAGAACCCCATCGTAGGATATGGGGAAAAAGATGAGGAATGCACCATATACGTCAACGGCCCAATACCGCCAGCAGTGTGCGAAGCAGACCGGTAGAATTTCTTCTAAGGCGAATTCATCGCATCACACTGCGGCAAAATCGACAACTTGGCTGGATCATCATTCGGTGCTTGTGCAGGCTGCCACTTACGCGGCGAATTGATGTTGAGCTCGAGTGCACCAGGTGTGATTGCTCACCCATGACGGCGGTCGCTGTCTTTGCTGAGTCTTCAGAGCCTCTTTTGCCCTCGCTTGTCTGGCCTACGACTGCCGAGACGTTTGCGTAGGCGGGTGAAGTTTCTGTATGATCGCGAACTCACATTCGATGACATCAGGCTTGTGATTACCACCGTACATGCAAGCAAAAATTGAGAGACTCAACTCGGTACTGGCCCGATTTTGTGTAACGAAATGATTTCGCCTTCTCTCCATACCGGTTCCAACCCAAAAGCCAGTACTCCGTGAATCGTGCAGCGAGGCTACCGGGTATGGTAGCAAAGCCATCCTTCGACTTGCGAGTGGCACTAGTCTCACCGACCTACCATACGCTGTCCACAGCGGAGAAGTTGACAGAATGATTGCCTAATGCTGATTGCCGTGTCAAAGTGAACATGTTCCGCATCTGCACAAGGAAACCTTCCAAAGATACCCAGTCATCCGACGAACCCTGTCCCCATATCACACGGTGAACAGCTAAAGGAAGAAAACGAGCACAATTAGCAATGTGGGGTCGATCCCAGAACAACTCCATGCATAAGAGGCCACACATGTTAGACAGCATACCACACAGAGCAGATACGGTCCGATGTTTCCGGCAGTTGGCGACTCGAGGAGCGCACATCCACATAGCAAGTATAGCAACCAGAGTTTGCAAAACCTTGTGCACATTTTTCTTTCAGTAACATGCAGATAGGCGGCAAGCTTCATGCATAAGAATTCGCTACATATTCATCGGACATCACCCCGGTCCGCGGGAAGCCTAAGATTTCATGCACTGCGCTAAGGATGCATGTGGCCTGGACGTCTACCAACGTATTAGAGGTAACCGCCTTGCTTTCCGCTTCATTGAATACTGGAATGCGCCCTGCTCTCCGAAGCAGTTCCCACCAAATCATATCCTGCTGGGTTGTTCTGGAGAAAGTTGTTTATAGACCTGCACCGTCCGAAGGGTTACCCCTCCTACGGGAACCGCAAGTCTAGTGTGGATGTCGAGATGAGGACTGAACACTCGTTGCTTTCGATTTGATTCACTCAAGCGGTCTGCAGAAGAGAATTTGAAAGTGCTAGAGCCATCCAGTCCGAGCGGTACTCTTTGAGCATTGGTTGCTGGGGTCCCCGCTCGGGGGTTGACTCGCCATGGTGCTGGAAAGGACGATCATGGAAATGAGAGGCAACGAGAGGGAGAGAGAAAGAGAGACATCGAGATCGTAACATCTCGCTTCAAGCATGGTTCGACAACTCTTACCACGGGCGTTATGCTTCACAATCAGAGAGGGGCCTGACCCTGTGCGCTTTGTGTTGCAAGGACCGAGCACCCTTTTTTTCTGTCCTCGTCGGCTGCTGCAGGGGCGGGTGCTGAGAAAAGGCCTCAGTGTGAATGTTACGACAGGGTCACGTGCCTCTTCCCGTGTACGGCCACGGGCTAAAAGAAAGTAGCTCTGAGGTGCCATCCTGATACATGATGTCTCGTCGGCTCACCGTCAGTACCGTTGCACCTGCCAGGCGTGAAGGCGCAGCACCAGCTTGATCCACTCGCGGGCCTGTTCGTGCCCCTGCTCTGTTCTTCATCTGGTGTTCTGTCTTATTGCTTCTTTCCAACATGGCATCCAACCTCCCGCTGTAGACCGAACCGAACAGAACCGAGGAGGAGGAGGAGGAGGAGGAGGAGGACCTGAAAGAGGACAAGGACAGGCGCTGCGCCAGCCCAAAACCTGGGCCCCCGCCGCGGCTCTGCGGCCCCGTCGCTGGCAGCCGGCGCCGCCCCCTGCGTCCCAGACCCCCTCGACTCATGGCAAAGTCACGACGGAGCGTGCTTCGGTGTTGCCAACCTTTACCAGAGGCCCTAATCGGGCCATCGGGCCCCGGGATCGTTAGAACACTGCTCTTGATGAAGAAACGGCCGCGAGGAACGGGTCGAGACCTCTAGGGGGGTCGACGTTGTGAAAAATGATGATGTCGGGGCCTGTCTGGCCGCGGACGCCGCGGCCCTGCGGTTCCGTCGCTGGCAGCTGGCGCCGTCTCCTCCGTCATGGAGGGGGGCGATGACCAGGGGGGAACCCCTCGAGGCTTCAAGAGGGTTCCGAGATGGCCCAAGAGAGCTTCAAGACAGGGCCAAAGAAGGGCCCAATACAGCCCCAAGAGCGCCTAAAGAGGGCCCCTCGAAGCGATTTTGGAGCCGTATTGGGCCCCCCCTTCTTCTGTGGATGGCCCCCGAGGTGGCCCCGAGAGGCCCCCAAAGGGGCCCCAAGATGACCCCACGAGGGGCTCGATAGAAACCGAAATCTTCCAGAGTTGCCCCGAGGGGCCTCCCTCTTCGGCGGCGCCGAAGAAGGGGACGACGACCTCCTGCGCCACATCTCCTGTCAATGCTCCCGGAGGCGCCAGAGCGCCGAGAAAGAAAATTATACAAATGAGACTAGCCATCTGCTCACCCGTAGGCGCTCGGAGGTGGGAGCGCTCGCTCCCGAGGCCACGAGAAAATACGGCCCGTG